GGGGTCAGTGTGTAGGCCCAAATGCAGTGGTTTGTACATGAAATGCAATAATATCTGAGAAGCCTGTACTACATTGAATGAGGACCGATAGGGGTCAGTGTGTAGGCGAAAAAATTGTATGTCGTTTGTAGTTTTAACCCAACAGATTTTTAACCAAAACAGATTTTAACCAACAGATTTTACATAAACAGCTAGGTGAGTATAAGGTAACGAAATAACCGTGCAAAACGAAAGGAAACCGTAAAGTGAGGACCCGTGCTGTGTTGAACGCCGTGGGAACTAATCCTGGCGCGACAGGTGGGTCAACTTACGGTTTGAGAGTCCCTGAGACACCAAATGCGATGCTGACCGGAGAGAAAGCCACTGGATTAACGGAAATCCCTGCTGCAGGATTCATGGACACAGCTTGGAGTAAGAGACCTCATGGAGCAAAGGTGAAACCAAAATGGCGTCTTGTATGACCTGGAAGTGGATCTCATGCAAATGCTGACCTTGAACAGTCTATTCGTCTGACCAACAAAGGTAAGTAGGGAGAGGGAGTCCCTTTTATAGGTCTATAGCCCCTCCCACAACTTCAGGCCATGCCTTCCAATATATATATATATATATATAACATACAGGGTTTCCTTGCACTCACGCTTGTAGACAGTTGTAAGCCGGGTGCTTGTAATCCAGGGAAAAATTGCATATGGTAAAGTAGTGATCAGCACTCTCGGACTTTTGTTGAGTTTAAAACTTACAGTTTATTGAAATTCCATTTAAAAGATCAACGTTTCAGTTCCTATCTGGAACTTTCATCAGGATCAAACATATGAAACAATGCAAAACATTACATTTATATACCTCAAGTATTAGTGAAATTAAATCAATAATGACTTACCCCTGTGCTCAGAGTGATGGGTGTGTTGCCCCTGGCGTCCACCATACCTCCGTGCGCATGCGCGGACGTGGCCCCGCCCCTACGTGTGCGTGATGACTTCACGCGTTGCCGCGGCAACGCTAGAGTCACATGGGAAGAAACAGGAAGTGACTGATAGTGAATAGCATGTGTCTCCGGTTGCTATGGCAACCCGGCAATGTAACTACAAAGTTATACATTCAATTAATATTCACAAGTACTAGTCCAATCATCCTGGTACTAGACAATAATGAAAATGAAAGGTTTATGAAAATATACAGTGATACTGATGTATATAAAAAGTGCAAAGAAAGCTATATATATTTTAGTTGAAACCCTAATTCTGGCAAGTGAATACTAGCCTTAAAGTGCCAATGTGTAATAAAGTACTGAAGACCAGTACAATTATACTGGAAATAAAGTGTATATAAAAAAGTGCTAATGGAAAAGTGCTATAGTGATAATAAAGTGCTAACAGTGATGTGATATTACTTATAATAAGAAAGTGCTTTCCAGTGCAAATATAGTAAATAGCAATTCTATATCAATAGATAATTCTTTAGTATAAAAATGTATCAAAATATTAAGGGCTTAAAGGTATAGATTTACACATAAAAAACATCATAAAAAGTATCATAAAAATTATCATAAAAACAAAATTCCTATTGCTTATGGGGTCATAACTAAAGAAATGAATGATAAGAAAGAATCTCATTGAGTCCTCTAGGTGCAATCGTGTTCAATTGGAAAATCCATTCTGTCTCTCTATTAAGGAGCATTTTGCCGCGGTCCCCTCCTCGCCTGGGTATTGGAATATGATCTATTGCGATAAACTTCAAAGAGGAAAGAGGATGTTTCATTTCAAGAAAATGTTGTGCCACAGGTTGTTCTGAATGTCCATCCCTGAAAGCCACCCGTATCGCTGATCTGTGTCCCCGTATTCTCTCACATAGTGGGGTTTCAGTTTTGCCAATGTAGGCTAACCCGCATGGACACATTAATTTATAGATCACAAAAGGTGTTTTACATGTAATTGTGTGTTTTATCTTAAACACCTTATTATTATGTGGATGTTGAAAGGATTTAGCCGGGGTCATATGGCTGCAAGTGACGCATCCTAAGCATCGGACACTGCCTCGGTATTGGCTATCAGTTCCCTGATTATAACTGTTTATAGGATCTGTATGTACCAACATATCCTTTAGTGTTTTGTTTCTCTTGAAACTAATCAATGGATGTTCTTTAAAAACTTTAGGCAAAGTGTCGTCCGTTGCAAGCATCTTCCAATTTTGTTTGATAATTTTGACTATTTTGGGTGAAGCGTCATTGTAAGTCATTGGAAATACCAAGGATGGTGGTTTTTTAGTACGTATGGCGGTATTGGCCATTTGCGCATCTTGTTGTGCTTTTAACAGTTCCTGTCTATAATAACCTCTTTCAAGGAATTTTTTATTCATCTCTTCCAACTGTTGTTGCATCTTGAGTTGATCTGAATTATTACGTGTAACTCTTAAGAATTGTGCCTTAGGAAGCGATTTTTTCAACATTTTTGGATGTGCACTTTTATTGTGCAACAATGTGTTCCGACCAGTGTCTTTTCTATATAGACAATAAGATACTCCATGTTCTTTAACAGATATCTCTAAATCCAGAAATTGAATCATATTTGTACTAATATTGGATGTAAACCTGACTGGAGTATTAAGTTCATTCAGATAGTGAACCATTTGCTGTGCTTCCAATTCAGTGCCCTTCCAAAGGATCAACAAATCGTCAATGTAACGAAAATACGCAGTGATAAGATGATTATATTTGGAAAAGATGTGTTCTTTCTCATAAATATGCATATAGGAATTGGCATACATTGGGGCCATCGCTGCCCCCATAGAGGTGCCCGCTACTTGTAGGAACCAGTCATCTTCAAATCTGAAATAATTTTGTTGGAGAGTTAAGGACAATAATTCCAAGACAAATTCGATTGGAGGTCCCACATATGAAGTAGCCATGCATAAAATTTGTCTCATGGCTTCTATCCCCTCCTGGTGTGGAATAATTGTATATAAATTACTCACGTCCATGGTAATTAGAATGATGGGTTCCTCGCCAAAGTCTAATGAGTCCAATTTCCTTATCAAAGTCGGTGTATCCTTGATACAAGTCTGTATCTCTGATATGGGTGCTTGGAATAGGGAATCCAGCCATTTCGCAATCGGTTCTAAGATCCCTCCTATTGCTGATACTATCGGTCTCCCTGGAGGCTTAATGGGATTCTTATGTATCTTTGGTATAGTGTAAAGAATTGAAGTCTTTGGATTCTTTTTCAATAGGTAGTTATAGAGTTGAAGATCTATGTATCCTGCTTCCAGTCCCAAAAACAGAGTATTCTCTATAATTGTTGCTATTTTCTTAGTCGGATCACCTTGTAAATGTAAGTATACTGTAGCATATATTATCTAAGTTTATATATATATACACATTTACACATACACTGTCTGAGTGTATTTTAATATTAATATATATATATATATATATATATATATATATAAAAATATCAAAATAATGATATTTATTAAATATATATATATATATATATATATATATGTATGATTATATATAAATTTATATATAATAGAAAAAACAAATATGTAAGTACGTTAAAAAAAATAAAAAAAATTAAAATAAATACTTAAAAAAATATATATGTGTGATATTAATATATATATAATGATATCAAAATACACGTAGAACAAATTATTATATATCCATATATTCACGCTCATGACAGAAAAGAACTCCTAAACTCAAGTGATCCAACAGCCTCAGCCTCCCAGTAGTTGGGATCACAGGCACACGCCACTGCAGCTGACAAGGTTTTGAAGCTGTTCAGTGTAATATGAAACTTCCCAATCTGATGTCAGCAGTCACTGTGTTATAGCTAACCAGCGCCACCACCTGGACATTTTTATTAAGGCATTTTAAAAGAAAGCCAAATCGGCTTCATGCTCGCTTGTGAAAGTAAACCCAGCAGAAGTGCAGCCCATCTCGATGTTGTATTTTGAAAGCCTAACGATTCATGACAACTTAGAAGTATAAGAAAAAATAGGGTATTAATGCAAAGTGACAGCCTCACCGGGACGTGCCTCCGTTTAAAGCACCTTCCTTTTTAGATTGAAAGACTGACAGGAATGAGATCGCACTGTTTCCCCAGTGTTCCTCGAGCACTGTTAGTTTTTTTGTTTTTTTTTAAATAGGAAGCGGTTTTAACCTTTTCAACACAATACATCTTAGTTGTCAAGGACATCAATTCCGCACTTTTGAATTCCACGAGATTTAGTTGTTTTGGCTTTTTGGTTAAATAATATCTGGATAGTTTTAGGGCATGTGATGCTAGTTTGGGCATGTGTTAGTCACGGAGAAAATTGACAGATTTAGTAATTGAGTAATCTGGCTTTTAAAGATAAAAGAAAAAATAACTTAGAAGGAAAAAAAATGAAATTTCAAAAAGTATATATTTTTTTTCTGAATAGTTTCTGCAAGGTTCAGTTTAGTCTAGGCAGTGACAGTGAATGGCAGTAAGAGGGCCAACACATAGATTGGGACGATACCTAAGTGAAAAGATGGATAAAGAAGACAACGTGATTGGTTAGTTACATCGTCAATTAATTTGGGAATCATGAAATTAGCAGGTCAGAGAGTCGAGTAGGATTAGGATTTAGGTGACTAGGCAGTAAGTGAATTTATCTATGGTGATAGAGAATTTGATAAAATGACTACATGAAAAGTGCTGAAATAGCCCTCATTCAATCTCATTGGGTGGCTATTCTCAAAAGAAGATATAGTTTGTTAGCCTAATTCAAACTGGTTGACTGTTCAAATTCTCCGCATGACACACCTATTGCTTGAGCAAGTGTTTGTAAAAGTTTGTAAAGAGAAAGGCACCATTTGATGAGTTTAAAACACTTTCATTTCTAAATAATTGAATATGAATGAAAACCATTTTTTTAATAATTGAGTCAAATGGGATTTTTAAAATGTTTGTTTTCTATCCGAATTATATAGAGGTAAGTAAAAAGTCAGTGTCTCACTGTCTTGACCAGGCTGCTCTACATTGTCTATTCACAGGTGCTGTCCCACTACTGATCAACACGGGGGATTTGACCTGCTCTGTTCCCAACCTGGGCCGGTTCACCCCTCCTTAGACCAACCTGGTAGCTCCAAGCTCCCTCAGAGTCACCAAATTGGTGCTGAACTTAGTGTGGACATCCGATCGATATACAATGACAAAAAGTAAAATATGGAGGTTTAGCACTCTATACAGTAAATACAAGAGAAATGTGCACAGTGATCAAAAAAGTGCAGTAAATGAAATGTATGCATACACTTTAATAGACTTTATCCAAAGGAAATTCTATAAAACATAAAAGCTCACATAGGGCAATATAGTCTATATGGTATCCCCACTGTGATTATAATATTAATATAGAGGTTGCATCCTACTCACATTTTCATGAGCCTGTATAGACAACTGGCTCAAGCAAAAGAGCATAGGTAGGATGTAAAGGAGTACTTCCTCAGCTTCTGTGCTCTCCCCCAATAGTCATATAGTTAAAAATAATAATGAACAGGGGTTAGAAGTAAAATTCAAGCATTTATAACAAACATCAATAAAAGTTCTTACATATAAAAACACAGAAAGCGGCAAACATGGAATCTTCCTAGTTAAAACATAACGTGTTTCGGCTGGATGCCTTCTTCAGGAAAATATTGATAGTGTCCTGTGATCTCCTCTTTTATTTCCAAATTTTGCGCCAAAAATTCATAGTCGGCCCGCCCACTATACTCGCGTCACGTCACTTCCGGCCCGGCATGACGTGTACGTCAGGTTTCGGCCAGGAGTCAATCTCAGCTATTACGTCATCTATGTAAACCCTGAAGGTCCTCCCAGGGTGTACTAGCTCCCCAGTGAATGCTTTTAAGTTCCACAAGTCCATGGTGTAATAACTATGACCAAAAAAAATGGAAGTACTCCGTTAGCCATTTTTGATGGGGCAAAACAGGGTATGAAGTAAGGGCAGGGAAACAGAGAAAAAGCAGTATCAATACATACAAAAAATATATGAGATGTGCATGTATAATTGTTTGATAATACTCAATATCAATGTATACATAAATACACTAATGTGCAGAAATAGTTTATAACTGTATTGCACAAACCCCATAAAGTCCATGGTGTAATAACTATGACCAAAAAAAATGGAAGTACTCCGTTAGCCATTTTTGATGGGGCAAATCAGGGTATGAAGTAAGGGCAGGGAAACAGAGAAAAAGCAGTATTAATACATACAAAAAATATATGAGATGTACATGTATAATTGTTTGATAATACTCAATATCAATGTATACATAAATACACTAATGTGCAGAAATAGTTTATAACTGTATTGCACAAACCCCATAAAAAATAAGAATAAAAAACGGTAAGACATAATTAATATGAAATATGCTGTAAAAATAAGGTGATAAAAAAGTGAAATAAGAGAAGAAAAACCTATATTAGATGGGAGATATTTTCTAAATGGCTAAAATTTATATGTATTTAAATATAGTTAAAAATCTCAAAATCTATATTCATGCCAGCAGGAGATAGAATATCCAACTCAAAGATCCACCTCATTTCAGTTTTATTCAAAATCTTAATAAAATCTCCCCCTCTCCATGTTTTTTTCACTTTTTCAATTCCCTGAAATGTAAACATTTTGGGTCACCATTATGGTATTGGGCAAAATGGTCAGATACTGAATGATTTTGTACTTTTTTCTTAATATTACGAATATGTTTGCCTATTTTTATTTTAAGAGGTCTGGTAGTTCTGCCCACATATAGTATGCCACAATCACAAGAAAGAAGATAAATTACATTATTTACGTTACATGAGATAAAAGAGGTAATATTGTATTTTATATTTGTGACATAAGATGTAAAAGAACATGTTTTTTTTATTTTTTAATATGGTCTCTTTAAAGCTCTGGCATTAACCACAATTATAAAAACCTTTTAATTCTGAACCTAAAATGTATTTTTCTTTTATTTCCTTAGATATACAGCTTTTGGATAAAATCTGTCTAAGATTCTTAGCCCCTCTGTATACAATTTTGGGTTTCGTTCCTATAAATAGCCTCAAATCAGAGTATTTCTTATGGATAAAACCTCCTATGCTAAAGAAATATTTAAAGAAAAATAAACTTTTACAAACACTTGCTCAAGCAATAGGTGTGTCATGCGGAGAATTTGAACAGCCCACCATTTTGAATTAGGCTAACAAACTATATCTTCTTTTGAGATAGTGGGATAGCACCTGTGAATAGACAATGTAGAGCAGCCTGGTTAAAACAGTGAGACACTGACTTTTTACATACCTCTATATCATTCGAATAGAGAAATAAAATTTTAAAAATCCCATTTCACTTAATTATTCAAAAAATGGTTTTCATGCAAATTCAATTATTTTGAAATGAAAGTGTTTTAAACTCATCAAATGGTGCCTTTCTCTTTACAAACTTTTACAAACACTTGCTCAAGCAATAGGTGTGTCATGCGGAGAATTTGAACAGCCCACCATTTTGAATTAGGCTAACAAACTATATCTTCTTTTGAGAACAGCCACCCCATGAGATTGCATGAGGGCTATTTCAGCACTTTTCATGTAGTCATTTTATCAAAATTCTCTATCACCATAGATAAATTCACTTACTGCCTAGTCACCTACATCCTAACCCTACTCGACTCTCTGACCCTCTAATTTCCTGATTCCCAAATTAATTGACAATATAACTAACCAATCAGGTTTTCTTCTTTATCCATCTTTTCACTTAGGTATCGTCCCAATCTATGTGTTGGCCCTCTTACTGCCATTCACTGTCACTACCTAGACTAAACTGAACCTTGCAGAAACTATTCAGAAAAAAAATATATACTTTTTGAAATTTCATTTTTTTTCCTTCTAAGTTATTTTTTCTTTTATTTTTAAAAGCCAGATTACTCAATTACTAAATCTGTCAATTTTTTCCGTGACTAACACATGCCCAAACTAGCATCACATGCCCTAAAACTATCCAGATATTATTTAACCAAAAAGCCAAAACAACTAAATCTCGTGGAATTCAAAAGTGCGGAATTGATGTCCTTGACAACTAAGATGTATTGTGTTGAAAAGGTTAAAACTGCTTCCTATTTAAAAAAAAACAAAAAAACTAACAGTGCTCGAGGAACACTGGGGAAACAGTGCGATCTCATTCCTGTCAGACTTTCAATCTAAAAAGGAAGGTGCTTTAAACGGAGGCACGTCCCGGTGAGGCTGTCACTTTGCAATAATACCCTATTTTTTCTTATACTTCTAAATTGTCATGAATCGTTAGGCTTTCAAAATACAACATCGAGATGGGCTGCACTTCTGCTGGATTTACTTTCACAAGCGAATGCCTTAATAAAAATGTCCAGGCGGTGGCGCTGGTTAGCTATAACACAGTGACTGCTGACATCAGATTGGGAAGTTTCATATTGCACTGAACAGCTTCAAAAAACCTTGCCGGGTGCAGTGGTGTGCAGTGGTGTATCCTGGTTTTGTGCTGCCCTAGGCAGGACAAAACTCAGGCGCCCCCCTCCCCCCCGCGCCACCCCCACCCAACCCTTCACCCCGCCCCACCTTCTAAATACACACACACACAGTCAGACACATACACAAACACACACACACACACAGTCACATACACAGACACAGTCAGACACAAACACACACACACACAGTCAGACACACACACACACATACACAGTCAGACACACACACACACATACACAGTCAGACACAAACACACACACACAGTCAGACACACAGTCAGACACAAACACACACAGACACACACAGTCACATACACACACACACACACAGTCAGACACATACACAGACACAAACACAGTCAGACACAAACACACACACACACAGTCAGACACATACACAGACACAAACACAGACACAAACACACACTCACAAACACACACAGTCAGACACAAACACACACACACATTAACTTTTTTTTTTATTTAAATCCCCCCCCAACCTCCTTACCTTTGGGAGTGCTGGGGGGGAGGGGTCTCTCTCCCTGGTGGTCCAGTGGCTGCAGGGCGGGCGGCACTGGCAGGGCGGGCGGGCGGCTGGCGAGGGAGCACTTCCCATGAGCTGACTGCTCAGCTCCCTCGCGCGTCGGCTGCAGAGTGAGGCTGGGAACCGGAAGATGACGCCATCTTCCGGCTCCCAGCCTCACTTTGCGGTGCGCGAGGGAGCTGAGCAGTCAGCTCATGGGAAGTGAGCTCCCTCGCCGGCCGCCCGGGATGTCAGTTAGCCGCAAGGCTAACAAGGCATCTGCCCTGGGCATTTGGGGGGCGGCGTTTTTTGCCGCCCCCTGAAAAATGCCGCCCAAGGCAAATGCCTTGTTTGCCTCGCGGCTAATACGTCCCTGGTGGTGTGTGCCTGTGATCCCAGCTACAGAGAAGCTGAGGCTGTTGGATCACTTGAGTTCAGGAGTTCTGTTCTGCCATGAGCTATGTCGATCAGGTGTCCGCACTAAGTTCAGCACCAATATGGTGACTCTGAGGGAGCTTGGAGATACCAGGTTGGTCTAAGGAGGGGTGAACTGGCCCAGGTTGGGAACAGAGCAGGTCAAATCCCCAGTGTTGATCAGTAGTGGGACAGCACCTGTGAATAGACAATGTAGAGCAGCCTGGTCAAAACAGTGAGACACTGACTTTTTACTTACCTCTATATCATTCGAATAGAAAACTAAAATTTTAAAAATCCCATTTCACTTACTTATTCAAAAAATGGTTTTCATGCAAATTCAATTATTTTGAAATGAAAGTGTTTTAAACTCATCAAATGGTGCCTTTCTCTTTACAAACACTTGCTCAAGCAATAGGTGTGTCATGCGGAGAATTTGAACAGCCCACCATTTTGAATTAGGCTAACAAACTATATCTTCTTTTGAGAACAGCCACCCCATGAGATTGCATGAGGGCTATTTCAGCACTTTTCATGTAGTCATTTTATCAAAATTCTCTATCACCATAGATAAATTCACTTACTGCCTAGTCACCTACATCCTAACCCTACTCGACTCTCTGACCCTCTAATTTCCTGATTCCCAAATTAATTGACGATATAACTAACCAATCAGTTTTCTTCTTTATCCATCTTTTCACTTAGGTATCGTCCCAATCTATGTGTTGGCCCTCTTACTGCCATTCACTGTCACTGCCTAGACTAAACTGAACCTTGCAGAAACTATTCAGAAAAAAAATATATACTTTTTGAAATTTCATTTTTTTTCCTTCTAAGTTATTTTTTCTTTTATCTTTAAAAGCCAGATTACTCAATTACTAAATCTGTCAATTTTCTCCGTGACTAACACATGCCCAAACTAGCATCACATGCCCTAAAACTATCCAGATATTATTTAACCAAAAAGCCAAAACAACTAAATCTCGTGGAATTCAAAAGTGCGGAATTGATGTCCTTGACAACTAAGATGTATTGTGTTGAAAAGGTTAAAACTGCTTCCTATTTAAAAAAAAAACAAAAAAACTAACAGTGCTCGAGGAACACTGGGGAAACAGTGCGATCTCATTCCTGTCAGTCTTTCAATCTAAAAAGGAAGGTGCTTTAAACGGAGGCACGTCCCGGTGAGGCTGTCACTTTGCATTAATACCCTATTTTTTCTTATACTTCTAAATTGTCATGAATCGTTAGGCTTTCAAAATACAACATCGAGATGGGCTGCACTTCTGCTGGGTTTACTTTCACAAGCGAGCATGAAGCCGATTTGGCTTTCTTTTAAAATGCCTTAATAAAAATGTCCAGGTGGTGGCGCTGGTTAGCTATAACACAGTGACTGCTGACATCAGATTGGGAAGTTTCATATTACACTGAACAGCTTCAAAAACCTTGCCGGGTGCAGTGGCGTGTGCCTGTGATCCCAGCTACTGGGAGGCTGAGGCTGTTGGATCACTTGAGTTCAGGAGTTCTGTTCTGCCATGAGTATGTCAATCGGGTGTCCGCACTAAGTTCAGCACCAATATGGTGACTCTGAGGGAGCTTGGAGCTACCAGGTTGGTCTAAGGAGGGGTGAACCGGCCCAGGTTGGGAACAGAGCAGGTCAAATCCCCCGTGTTGATCAGTAGTGGGACAGCACCTGTGAATAGACAATGTAGAGCAGCCTGGTCAAAACAGTGAGACACTGACTTTTTACTTACCTCTATATCATTCGAATAGAAAACTAAAATTTTAAAAATCCCATTTCACTTAATTATTCAAAAAATGGTTTTCATGCAAATTCAATTATTTTGAAATGAAAGTGTTTTAAACTCATCAAATGGTGCCTTTCTCTTTACAAACACTTGCTCAAGCAATAGGTGTGTCATGCGGAGAATTTGAACAGCCCACCATTTTGAATTAGGCTAACAAACTATATCTTCTTTTGAGAACAGCCACCCCATGAGATTGCATGAGGGCTATTTCAGCACTTTTCATGTAGTCATTTTATCAAAATTCTCTATCACCATAGATAAATTCACTTACTGCCTAGTCACCTACATCCTAACCCTACTCGACTCTCTGACCCTCTAATTTCCTGATTCCCAAATTAATTGACGATATAACTAACCAATCACGTTTTCTTCTTTATCCATCTTTTCACTTAGGTATCGTCCCAATCTATGTGTTGGCCCTCTTACTGCCATTCACTGTCACTGCCTAGACTAAACTGAACCTTGCAGAAACTATTCAGAAAAAAAATATATACTTTTTGAAATTTCATTTTTTTTCCTTCTAAGTTATTTTTTCTTTTATCTTTAAAAGCCAGATTACTCAATTACTAAATCTGTCAATTTTCTCCGTGACTAACACATGCCCAAACTAGCATCACATGCCCTAAAACTATCCAGATATTATTTAACCAAAAAGCCAAAACAACTAAATCTCGTGGAATTCAAAAGTGCGGAATTGATGTCCTTGACAACTAAGATGTATTGTGTTGAAAAGGTTAAAACTGCTTCCTATTTAAAAAAAAACAAAAAAACTAACAGTGCTCGAGGAACACTGGGGAAACAGTGCGATCTCATTCCTGTCAGTCTTTCAATCTAAAAAGGAAGGTGCTTTAAACGGAGGCACGTCCCGGTGAGGCTGTCACTTTGCATTAATACCCTATTTTTTCTTATACTTCTAAATTGTCATGAATCGTTAGGCTTTCAAAATACAACATCGAGATGGGCTGCACTTCTGCTGGGTTTACTTTCACAAGCGAGCATGAAGCCGATTTGGCTTTCTTTTAAAATGCCTTAATAAAAATGTCCAGGTGGTGGCGCTGGTTAGCTATAACACAGTGACTGCTGACATCAGATTGGGAAGTTTCATATTACACTGAACAGCTTCAAAAACCTTGCCGGGTGCAGTGGCGTGTGCCTGTGATCCCAGCTACTGGGAGGCTGAGGCTGTTGGATCACTTGAGTTCAGGAGTTCTGTTCTGCCATGAGCTATGTCGATCGGGTGTCCGCAATAAGTTCAGCACCAATATGGTGACTCTGAGGGAGCTTGGAGCTACCAGGTTGGTCTAAGGAGGGGTGAACCGGCCCAGGTTGGGAACAGAGCAGGTCAAATCCCCCGTGTTGATCAGTAGTGGGACAGCACCTGTGAATAGACAATGTAGAGCAGCCTGGTCAAAACAGTGAGACACTGACTTTTTACTTACCTCTATATCATTCGAATAGAAAACTAAAATTTTAAAAATCCCATTTCACTTAATTATTCAAAAAATGGTTTTCATGCAAATTCAATTATTTTGAAATGAAAGTGTTTTAAACTCATCAAATGGTGCCTTTCTCTTTACAAACACTTGCTCAAGCAATAGGTGTGTCATGCGGAGAATTTGAACAGACCACCATTTTGAATTAGGCTAACAAACTATATCTTCTTTTGAGAACAGCCACCCCATGAGATTGCATGAGGGCTATTTCAGCACTTTTCATGTAGTCATTTTATCAAAATTCTCTATCACCATAGATAAATTCACTTACTGCCTAGTCACCTACATCCTAACCCTACTCGACTCTCTGACCCTCTAATTTCCTGATTCCCAAATTAATTGACGATATAACTAACCAATCACGTTTTCTTCTTTATCCATCTTTTCACTTAGGTATCGTCCCAATCTATGTGTTGGCCCTCTTACTGCCATTCACTGTCACTGCCTAGACTAAACTGAACCTTGCAGAAACTATTCAGAAAAAAAATATATACTTTTTGAAATTTCATTTTTTTTCCTTCTAAGTTATTTTTTCTTTTATCTTTAAAAGCCAGATTACTCAATTACTAAATCTGTCAATTTTCTCCGTGACTAACACATGCCCAAACTAGCATCACATGCCCTAAAACTATCCAGATATTATTTAACCAAAAAGCCAAAACAACTAAATCTCGTGGAATTCAAAAGTGCGGAATTGATGTCCTTGACAACTAAGATGTATTGTGTTGAAAAGGTTAAAACCGCTTCCTATTTAAAAAAAAACAAAAAAACTAACAGTGCTCGAGGAACACTGGGGAAACAGTGCGATCTCATTCCTGTCAGTCTTTCAATCTAAAAAGGAAGGTGCTTTAAACGGAGGCACGTCCCGGTGAGGCTGTCACTTTGCATTAATACCCTATTTTTTCTTATACTTCTAAATTGTCATGAATCGTTAGGCTTTCAAAATACAACATCGAGATGGGCTGCACTTCTGCTGGGTTTACTTTCACAAGCGAGCATGAAGCCGATTTGGCTTTCTTTTAAAATGCCTTAATAAAAATGTCCAGGTGGTGGCGCTGGTTAGCTATAACACAGTGACTGCTGACATCAGATTGGGAAGTTTCATATTACACTGAACAGCTTCAAAAACCTTGCTGGGTGCAGTGGCGTGTGCCTGTGATCCCAGCTACTGGGAGGCTGAGGCTGTTGGATCACTTGAGTTCAGGAGTTCTGTTCTGCCATGAGCTATGTCGATCGGGTGTCCGCACTAAGTTCAGCACCAATATGGTGACTCTGAGGGAGCTTGGAGCTACCAGGTTGGTCTAAGGAGGGGTGAACCGGCCCAGGTTGGGAACAGAGCAGGTCAAATCCCCCGTGTTGATCAGTAGTGGGACAGCACCTGTGAATAGACAATGTAGAGCAGCCTGGTCAAAACAGTGAGACACTGACTTTTTACTTACCTCTATATCATTCGAATAGAAAACTAAAATTTTAAAAATCCCATTTCACTTAATTATTCAAAAAATGGTTTTCATGCAAATTCAATTATTTTGAAATGAAAGTGTTTTAAACTCATCAAATGGTGCCTTTCTCTTTACAAACACTTGCTCAAGCAATAGGTGTGTCATGCGGAGAATTTGAACAGACCACCATTTTGAATTAGGCTAACAAACTATATCTTCTTTTGAGAACAGCCACCCCATGAGATTGCATGAGGGCTATTTCAGCACTTTTCATGTAGTCATTTTATCAAAATTCTCTATCACCATAGATAAATTCACTTACTGCCTAGTCACCTACATCCTAACCCTACTCGACTCTCTGACCCTCTAATTTCCTGATTCCCAAATTAATTGACGATATAACTAACCAATCACGTTTTCTTCTTTATCCATCTTTTCACTTAGGTATCGTCCCAATCTATGTGTTGGCCCTCTTACTGCCATTCACTGTCACTGCCTAGACTAAACTGAACCTTGCAGAAACTATTCAGAAAAAAAATATATACTTTTTGAAATTTCATTTTTTTTCCTTCTAAGTTATTTTTTCTTTTATCTTTAAAAGCCAGATTACTCAATTACTAAATCTGTCAATTTTCTCCGTGACTAACACATGCCCAAACTAGCATCACATGCCCTAAAACTATCCAGATATTATTTAACCAAAAAGCCAAAACAACTAAATCTCGTGGAATTCAAAAGTGCGGAATTGATGTCCTTGACAACTAAGATGTATTGTGTTGAAAAGGTTAAAACCGCTTCCTATTTAAAAAAAAACAAAAAAACTAACAGTGCTCGAGGAACACTGGGGAAACAGTTCTCATTCCTGTCAGTTTTCAATCTAAAAAGGAAGGTGCTTTAAACGGAGGCACGTCCCGGTGAGGCTGTCTTTGCAAACCCTATTTTTTCCCTTCTAATTGTCATGAATTTAGGCTTTCAAAATACAACATCAGATGGGCTGCACTCTGCTGGGTTTACTTTCACAAGCGAGCAGAAGCCGATTTGGCTTTCTTTTTTGCCAAATAAAAATGTCCAGGTGGTGGCGCTGGTTAGCTATACACAGTGACTGCTGACATCAGATTGGGGTTTCATATTACACTGAACAGCTTCAAAACCTTGCCGGGTGCAGTGGCGTGTGCCTGTGATCCCAGCTACTTCTGAGGCTGTTGGATCACTTGAGTTCAAATTCGGGTGTCCGCACTAAGTTCAGCACCAATATGGTGACTCTGAGGGAGCTTGGAGCTACCAGGTTGGTCTAAGGAGGGGTGAACCGGCCCAGGTTGGGAACAGAGCAGGTCAAATCCCCCATCAGTAGTGGGTGAATAGACAATGTAGAGCAGCCTGGTCAAAACAGTGAGACACTGACTTTTACTTCGAATAGAAAACTAAAATTTTAAAAATCCCATTTCACTTAATTATTCAAAAAATGGTTTTCATGCAAATTCAATTATTTTGAAATGAAAGTGTTTTAATCGCCTTTCTCTTTACAAACACTTGCTCAAGCAATAGGTGTGTCATGCGGAGAATTCACCATTTTGAATTAGGCTAACAAACTATATCTTTTTTGAGAACAGCCACCCCATGAGATTGCATGAGGGCTATTTCAGCACTTTTCATGTAGTCATTTTATCAAAATTCTCTATCACCATAGATAAATTCACTTACTGCCTAGTCACCTACATCCTAACCCTACTCGACTCTCTGACCCTCTAATTTCCTGATTCCCAAATTAATTGACGATATAACTAACCAATCACGTTTTCTTCTTTATCCATCTTTTCACTTAGGTATCGTCCCAATCTATGTGTTGGCCCTCTTACTGCCATTCACTGTCACTGCCTAGACTAAACTGAACCTTGCAGAAACTATTCAGAAAAAAAATATATACTTTTTGAAATTTCATTTTTTTTCCTTCTAAGTTATTTTTTCTTTTATCTTTAAAAGCCAGATTACTCAATTACTAAATCTGTCAATTTTCTCCGTGACTAACACATGCCCAAACTAGCATCACATGCCCTAAAACTATCCAGATATTATTTAACCAAAAAGCCAAAACAACTAAATCTCGTGGAATTCAAAAGTGCGGAATTGATGTCCTTGACAACTAAGATGTATTGTGTTGAAAAGGTTAAAACTGCTTCCTATTTAAAAAAAAACAAAAAAACTAACAGTGCTCGAGGAACACTGGGGAAACAGTGCGATCTCATTCCTGTCAGTCTTTCAATCTAAAAAGGAAGGTGCTTTAAACGGAGGCACGTCCCGGTGAGGCTGTCACTTTGCATTAATACCCTATTTTTTCTTATACTTCTAAATTGTCATGAATCGTTAGGCTTTCAAAATACAACATCGAGATGGGCTGCACTTCTGCTGGGTTTACTTTCACAAGCGAGCATGAAGCCGATTTGGCATTCTTTTAAAATGCCTTAATAAAAATGTCCAGGTGGTGGCGCTGGTTAGCTATAACACAGTGACTGCTGACATCAGATTGGGAAGTTTCATATTACACTGAACAGCTTCAAAATCCTTGCCGGGTGCAGTGGCGTGTGCCTGTGATCCCAGCTACTGGGAGGCTGAGGCTGTTGGATCACTTGAGTTCAGGAGTTCTGTTCTGCCATGAGCTATGTCGATCGGGTGTCCGCACTAAGTTCAGCACCAATATGGTGACTCTGAGGGAGCTTGGAGCTACCAGGTTGGTCTAAGGAGGGGTGAACCGGCCCAGGTTGGGAACAGAGCAGGTCAAATCCCCCGTGTTGATCAGTAGTGGGACAGCACCTGTGAATAGACAATGTAGAGCAGCCTGGTCAAAACAGTGAGACACTGACTTTTTACTTACCTCTATATCATTCGAATAGAAAACTAAAATTTTAAAAATCCCATTTCACTTAATTATTCAAAAAATGGTTTTCATGCAAATTCAATTATTTTGAAATGAAAGTGTTTTAAACTCATCAAATGGTGCCTTTCTCTTTACAAACACTTGCTCAAGCAATAGGTGTGTCATGCGGAGAATTTGAACAGACCACCATTTTGAATTAGGCTAACAAACTATATCTTCTTTTGAGAACAGCCACCCCATGAGATTGCATGAGGGCTATTTCAGCACTTTTCATGTAGTCATTTTATCAAAATTCTCTATCACCATAGATAAATTCACTTACTGCCTAGTCACCTACATCCTAACCCTACTCGACTCTCTGACCCTCTAATTTCCTGATTCCCAAATTAATTGACGATATAACTAACCAATCACGTTTTCTTCTTTATCCATCTTTTCACTTAGGTATCGTCCCAATCTATGTGTTGGCCCTCTTACTGCCATTCACTGTCACTGCCTAGACTAAACTGAACCTTGCAGAAACTATTCAGAAAAAAAATATATACTTTTTGAAATTTCATTTTTTTTCCTTCTAAGTTATTTTTTCTTTTATCTTTAAAAGCCAGATTACTCAATTACTAAATCTGTCAATTTTCTCCGTGACTAACACATGCCCAAACTAGCATCACATGCCCTAAAACTATCCAGATATTATTTAACCAAAAAGCCAAAACAACTAAATCTCGTGTAATTCAAAAGTGCGGAATTGATGTCCTTGACAACTAAGATGTATTGTGTTGAAAAGGTTAAAACCGCTTCCTATTTAAAAAAAAACAAAAAAACTAACAGTGCTCGAGGAACACTGGGGAAACAGTGCGATCTCATTCCTGTCAGTCTTTCAATCTAAAAAGGAAGGTGCTTTAAACGGAGGCACGTCCCGGTGAGGCTGTCACTTTGCATTAATACCCTATTTTTTCTTATACTTCTAAATTGTCATGAATCGTTAGGCTTTCAAAATACAACATCGAGATGGGCTGCACTTCTGCTGGGTTTACTTTCACAAGCGAGCATGAAGCCGATTTGGCTTTCTTTTAAAATGCCTTAATAAAAATGTCCAGGTGGTGGCGCTGGTTAGCTATAACACAGTGACTGCTGACATCAGATTGGGAAGTTTCATATTACACTGAACAGCTTCAAAATCCTTGCCGGGTGCAGTGGCGTGTGCCTGTGATCCCAGCTACTGGGAGGCTGAGGCTGTTGGATCACTTGAGTTCAGGAGTTCTGTTCTGCCATGAGCTATGTCGATCGGGTGTCCGCACTAAGTTCAGCACCAATATGGTGACTCTGAGGGAGCTTGGAGCTACCAGGTTGGTCTAAGGAGGGGTGAACCGGCCCAGGTTGGGAACAGAGCAGGTCAAATCCCCTGTGTTGATCAGTAGTGGGACAGCACCTGTGAATAGACAATGTAGAGCAGCCTGGTCAAAACAGTGAGACACTGACTTTTTACTTACCTCTATATCATTCGAATAGAAAACTAAAATTTTAAAAATCCCATTTCACTTAATTATTCAAAAAATGGTTTTCATGCAAATTCAATTATTTTGAAATGAAAGTGTTTTAAACTCATCAAATGGTGCCTTTCTCTTTACAAACACTTGCTCAAGCAATAGGTGTGTCATGCGGAGAATTTGAACAGACCACCATTTTGAATTAGGCTAACAAACTATATCTTCTTTTGAGAACAGCCACCCCATGAGATTGCATGAGGGCTATTTCAGCACTTTTCATGTAGTCATTTTATCAAAATTCTCTATCACCATAGATAAATTCACTTACTGCCTAGTCACCTACATCCTAACCCTACTCGACTCTCTGACCCTCTAATTTCCTGATTCCCAAATTAATTGACGATATAACTAACCAATCACGTTTTCTTCTTTATCCATCTTTTCACTTAGGTATCGTCCCAATCTATGTGTTGGCCCTCTTACTGCCATTCACTGTCACTGCCTAGACTAAACTGAACCTTGCAGAAACTATTCAGAAAAAAAATATATACTTTTTGAAATTTCATTTTTTTTCCTTCTAAGTTATTTTTTCTTTTATCTTTAAAAGCCAGATTACTCAATTACTAAATCTGTCAATTTTCTCCGTGACTAACACATGCCCAAACTAGCATCACATGCCCTAAAACTATCCAGATATTATTTAACCAAAAAGCCAAAACAACTAAATCTCGTGGAATTCAAAAGTGCGGAATTGATGTCCTTGACAACTAAGATGTATTGTGTTGAAAAGGTTAAAACCGCTTCCTATTTAAAAAAAAACAAAAAAACTAACAGTGCTCGAGGAACACTGGGGAAACAGTGCGATCTCATTCCTGTCAGTCTTTCAATCTAAAAAGGAAGGTGCTTTAAACGGAGGCACGTCCCGGTGAGGCTGTCACTTTGCATTAATACCCTATTTTTTCTTATACTTCTAAATTGTCATGAATCGTTAGGCTTTCAAAATACAACATCGAGATGGGCTGCACTTCTGCTGGGTTTACTTTCACAAGCGAGCATGAAGCCGATTTGGCTTTCTTTTAAAATGCCTTAATAAAAATGTCCAGGTGGTGGCGCTGGTTAGCTATAACACAGTGACTGCTGACATCAGATTGGGAAGTTTCATATTACACTGAACAGCTTCAAAAACCTTGCCGGGTGCAGTGGCGTGTGCCTGTGATCCCAGCTACTGGGAGGCTGAGGCTGTTGGATCACTTGAGTTCAGGAGTTCTGTTCTGCCATGAGCTATGTCGATCGGGTGTCCGCACTAAGTTCAGCACCAATATGGTGACTCTGAGGGAGCTTGGAGCTACCAGGTTGGTCTAAGGAGGGGTGAACCGGCCCAGGTTGGGAACAGAGCAGGTCAAATCCCCCGTGTTGATCAGTAGTGGGACAGCACCTGTGAATAGACAATGTAGAGCAGCCTGGTCAAAACAGTGAGACACTGACTTTTTACTTACCTCTATATCATTCGAATAGAAAACTAAAATTTTAAAAATCCCATTTCACTTAATTATTCAAAAAATGGTTTTCATGCAAATTCAATTATTTTGAAATGAAAGTGTTTTAAACTCATCAAATGGTGCCTTTCTCTTTACAAACACTTGCTCAAGCAATAGGTGTGTCATGCGGAGAATTTGAACAGCCCACCATTTTGAATTAGGCTAACAAACTATATCTTCTTTTGAGAACAGCCACCCCATGAGATTGCATGAGGGCTATTTCAGCACTTTTCATGTAGTCATTTTATCAAAATTCTCTATCACCATAGATAAATTCACTTACTGCCTAGTCACCTACATCCTAACCCTACTCGACTCTCTGACCCTCTAATTTCCTGATTCCCAAATTAATTGACGATATAACTAACCAATCACGTTTTCTTCTTTATCCATCTTTTCACTTAGGTATCGTCCCAATCTATGTGTTGGCCCTCTTACTGCCATTCACTGTCACTGCCTAGACTAAACTGAACCTTGCAGAAACTATTCAGAAAAAAAATATATACTTT